CTCTTCAATTTCTTTTTCTTTTTTCTATTATGAGACATTTGCTACAACTTTTGAGCAAAAGCTTTCGTACCAAACAGCGTTATTTTATTTAAACTACTTTCTAAAAGACATAAAATCTAATATAATAATTTTAGTATTCTTTTTAAGGAGATTCGAATGCCACATGCAAATACAACTTACAAGGTCGTAGTTGTATAATCTCATACACTTGTACGCACAGAGAGATCCATATTTTAATATAATTTAACCTTATTCACTGTAAATTATAACATGAATGAAATCTAATAAAACTAAAATTAATAATAAAATTTTGGGCAAAACATCAGCTCAAGACAACTTTTGGAATTTGTGATGATATTCTCCAAATCAACCTTTGATAGGATACATGCGAAAAAAATCATTAATAGAGGGTGCTGGCCAACAAGGCAAAGGAAACATTTTTTGAGGTAGTTCCTTAATTTGTGTTGTTTCCTATTAACGGATTGAGTTTAGAATTCTCTTATTACACGAATCATGGTGCAAGAACATAACGTGAGACATTAAACTATGATTAAATTATTAGAGACAACATTATGTTTACGTTGTTCATTACATGTCTAAGAGATTTATTATTGAGGAAGAGATCGATGAAAATACAAATCTGAGTTAAATCTTATTATCTTAAAGTTTTGAATTAAAAATAGCATTATTTTCATAAATAAGTGACTCAAGTTTCATCATTATCGAATCTTCTTACATTGAAAAATTCATAACAAAATTAATAAAATGAATTAATATTGATTGTTTGAAATAGCAATACATATACATTGGTTTTTTGGGTATGAAAAATTGGGTGAAAAGGAAAAGAATAGCGGAAAGAAAGGATAGGTATATGTAGAAAAAACGATAGTTACATGAAAGGAATTTTTGTAAGAGCTTCATCCACATATCTTTCCTTTTATTCATTTATTTATTTATTTATTTATTTGATTTTCTTTGTTGACAGTGAAGAAGTAAAATGGTGTAAGAAAGATGTGAAAGCAATATAGCTATGTGGCTGCCCCTGGACTTACGGCTTTTGAAGGTTGTTTTTGTTCCCTGCCTCTTTGGATTCACTACATAATTTTTGCTGATACATAGAAATTTTCATCTTCTCATTGATTTTTTTTGGATTCAGCTCGAGAAAATGAGGTAGGATTCGGATAATGCTGACTAGTAAGGATGGAACATGCCCAAAGTCATGTTTCTCATATAACAAACTCCTAATTCTAAGGCTGCCTAAATAATGCAATAATATCTCAACCTCCAAAATAAATATATTATATTTAATTATTATATTCAATATTAATTAAGTTTGTATTAATTTTATTCAATATTTTTTAATAAGATATTGAAATAAAAATTAACTAGGGTTAAAAATAGAATAATTATTTTATATATAAGAGAAAGATGAAGAGGAAACAAGAATGATAAGTGACAGTAATTCCGTTTTGAGCACGAGGAATGAAGACTCAATTTAGTAAGGTTTGTGGTACTTGGTCAGGACAACTCAATCTGCCACTTGATTTGCTTCATAATAAAATAACATGAACTCGTGAGATGCCATGTTTCATATATATGTCGTTATGTCTGCAATTCTGTATATGAGACATAAATGAATGTCAATAATAACGTGAGGGGATACTCTGTTCTATAACTAATTAGTAAATTTAAGAATTTATATTAATTGTTTTGAGACAGTATTTGTTTTTCTTTTATTTTTTTTATACATAAGCATTTTTTAACCACAATCATATAACTTAGGCGTCCACATTCCAATAAAAAGAACAGTAAAAGTAGAATAGTCGTTCAGTAGCTGATATTACAATCATCCACAAAAGAACAGAACTTAAAACTTAAACAGTTTAGAGTACTTCAAAATAACATCAACTTAAATTTAAAAATCCTATATACTGCATCATCAGCATCCTCCAACTCTTGTTCCAAGGGAACCTCCTCAACAACATCTGCTCCTATCCAAGTGGATGATCATCACAAAGAAAAACATACACAAGCAGCACACAACAAAGAAAACAAGGGTGAGCTAGATAACCAAGCAGTAATCATATAGTTCAATCAATAAATATCATCGTGCTTAGCTACATATAAAGAACAATCAAGGCATACCACTTTAAACCATGACTCAAACACTCACACGACTCATCCGGATTGTATAACTGTCGAACTATTGGTCGCCTTTGCACTTGCGTAGTTCAGCTGGCACTCCCCAACACTATGCAAGGTAAATCCCCCATCTGTCTATGTCTAAACTCTAAGACTATAGACGAGAACCTCCCTCTACTCTCACCACTTACACTACTCTCCTCTATTTGAGCATGAACAGTGCTTCGAGTGTAGGGATAGACATACCAGTTCAAAGCTTCAAAAAGTTATACAAAACAACAACAATACCCCACACATCACTTTCAATCATCTCACCCTGAGATGTCCACTTCATACTCAATTACATCATTGTAGTTCACATTCATATGCTTTACAACCACTCAACAACAATATATGGACATACATACATCCTGGCAGTCAAACAACATCAATCAATCCAAACAGAAGAAGAAAAATGAGTGAGATCCCCTCCATGCACCAGTTTACGTTCATATATATATATATATATATATATATATATATATATATATATATATATATATATATATATATATATATATTATGATAACAATTTATATCATACGTTTCGTATGTTAATATAATATATATCATACTTTCCTAACTTATATTTCCATAACATTTAATAATATACATATATATATATATTATGATAACAATTTATATCATACGTTTCATATGTTAATATAATATATATCATACTTTCCTAACTTATATTTCCATAACATTTAATAATATACATATATATATATATATATATATATATATATATATCATGGTTCTTATTTGGTAAACTACTTGTCTAATTTTCATCATAGTAGAGATCTTACTTTCCTCCAAATTGGTCACCGGAGAGGGTTAAGATGTCTGAACGCATTGACTCACCTTCGACGCTAGCACATATGACTAGTCACAACGTACTGGACCAGGCCAGGACTGCTCTATTATCAGGGATGTGCCAACTCAGGTTTTTAAGTCCCCTCTATCCTACCAATAAAGAAAGACTTTTAACAAGTTATGATTTAATTATCTTAGTTATTAAAACTGTCCTACAGTGTTCTAGACATCAAATACCCAATTATATATATCACCCTTCTCCTCACAGTAACCTTAAACCGTATCTGCCCATATACATGCTATCACAGAGCCCTTACTCCAAACCGTCCAACCAGAACAATTTCAACAAAAACAGGTTAATTTCAAGAGGAACACTTACAAACATAATTGCTACATGTACCAGTTCAACACCAAAGCATAAATTATTTAAGCACAATTCCACAGTCTCAGTTATAATTATCCAATAAAAATTTAACATCTTAGCACAACTTCACAAGAACACACCAGTTCAACATTCAACCTACATATATTTGTATAAAATAAATTCATACAAAAATAATTAGCTCCCCTTACCTGAAAAACTTCACAGTTTACTTGACAGGGATGATCTAAATAGTGCTCACAGAAAAATTCAAAGACACCCTATAAATCACCCAAGGGTGATAGAATTAGCTTTTTAGGCTAGAAATTACCACAAATTTGAAGTAGAACCCTTCTAGTAGCATGCATTCAGTAAAATAGCAATGCCCTAGGTGCTAGAAACGGTGGAGAAAAGGAGAAAGTAACTTACCGGTTGGAACAAGAACACGTTCGGTCCGTATGGAGCCCTTGACGCGGTGAACGGTTGAGCACCACCTATCCAAAAATAAAATTGAACGGTTTAACAGGGTAATATTTTAGAGAGAAGGCAGAGCAATATTTAGAAGATGAGTTTTTAGAGAGAAGGAAAAATTGGCAGAGTGGAAAGCTGACTTAGGAGAAAGACCCCTGCTGATCTGATGGACCTGACTACCCCACATAAGGTCCAAAGATCCCTTTATTAATAATTATTTATCAAATAAAAAATAATTTATTTATTTATTTAATGTATAATAATTACATAACAAATTTACTAAACACCCTCGTAAAAGGAGTAGTAAAAATTTATGTGTAATACCCTCGTAAAAGTAAGAAGAGATTTAATTATAATTCTACAAAGGTATGTTCAAATCATTTTAGTATATAGTATAATCATAGCATATCATCACATAAATAACATATTAAATTTTTAACTAAATTAAATGTATATAAAAGAAAACATTTTAATTAGTAATCCACATATCAATTAAATTCAAAATTATTCTATCAAACACAAACATAAATAACCATATAAACCATCACATACAAATCTATACATAAAGAGATATTCACCAAAGAATATCTACATATATGTCTTCCAATACTCATATAAAACATAATTACTAAAATAAAAAAAAAACTTGATTATAAAATTAATTATAAATTAAATAAATTTCATTTATTAATTTTTATATTTTGTTAGGATTTATCGTGAATTGAGTTTAAAAAATAATTTAGAATTATGTATTAGAATGTAAAAGTAAAATGTACAATAACAACAATAACGTATAACAATGCGTAGAAAAAAAAAAGAATTTTCTTAATGAATGAATATAAAATAAATAACGTGTCCGTCGTTAAAATTATTGATTTGACTTAGAATGAGAAGAAAACAAATTAAACTTGTATAGTACAAAAATGTAAGGATTCTGTTCATGGCGAGGATTTCAGAACGAAACGTACACGCGTCCTTTTGGGAAGCGACATAGCAAAACGTGTCAATCTTTGCGCACACGTGTAAAGATCGGTAGTTATATATGCATATTGTGTTGTTCATCTCACTTGCAACATTTTCTAAACATGTTGGTTACTCTTTCGTTCCCTTCTTAATGTGGTAAGTGGTTTTCTGACCATGTTGTCTTATCACCTTAACTGAAGTCCATTTGTGACAGAACATGAATTTCAGATTGTTTATTTATATTAGAACAGTGTATAAATGTAAAATTTTCCTTCGTACAATGTTATCTCTGCAACTATATGCTAGAAGTTTAATGCAGGCAGGTGTGTCTCCTTAGCAGAATGGAATTGTTAATGAGATTGAAGTGGCATTTTCTTAATTCTAATAAGCACGAACCTATGAATGGTTGTTATTGAGACCTTGAACCTTACATTAATGGAAGTTGCATGTTGCATGCTTTGGTGTGATTGAAGTGTAAAAGTTCTCAAGTGTTTAGAGAGAAAGATGCATGAGGAATGGCACCAAATCATTTCTCAAACTTTGAAGGAACATACAAAAATCTTCGCTCACCTGCTGCCATAATTGCTGGTTGTTCTGTGCTTGGAGCTCTAGTGCTGTCTTTCCTTCTCATTCTGCAACATCTTCAATCATACAACAACCCTGCAGTGAGTTCATTTTCTCGTGCCCATTTAATCAATCAAGTTCTTATTTATTCTTTCTTCGCCTCTACTGTGCCATGAGGTGTGGATGAGTTCTGTGGTGTTTGCTCGTTGAAATTTTATTCAATGAAATTTGTCTTTCAAAAAAATAAAAAATGCAGTGCCTTCAGATATCACTTCTGCTTGTGTAAGAAGAAAAAAAAGGACAAAATAACATGTCATACGTTTCCACATATTGAAGTTGCAACCTTTTTAGCTTGAATCAAATGTTTAGAGGTTAGGAACAACTTTGACTAACCCGAAAACTGGTTTACATTCAGGAGCAGAAGTGGATTGTTGGTGTTATTTCAATGGTCCCTATCTATGCTACTGAGTCTGTAAGGTTCTATTACTCTCTGAAATACATTCCTATTTCTTTTTGGCTTGGTTGGGTTAGTCATTTGAAGGAACAACTACATCTAGTCTTGAATCGTATTAAGGTTGTATCGGTATTCAAGCAATTGGTAATATAGACTGATAAGCTGGTAGAAGTGGATTTTAATCAATCTCAGTGGCGTTATGGGATCCATGTAGCTTATCTCAGATGGCCAACTGATATGACTGTAGAAGGAAAAAGAGGAATAAGGGAAGTATAGGAAATGGTGTAATAAGGATGGGAGATTGAAGGAGTGAGGCTATTATGACACAGAGAATGGAAGGGTTCCTTCAGTGATTACATTCCTTTCTTTCATTTCTCTTTTTAATCAGATTGTCTGATCTATTATGATGAATACAATTCCTATATTCTTCTGGAACTATAAACTTTTTTTCACCTCAAAAAGGACGGGGTAAAGTTTAGGAAATCACTAACAATGCAAGCTTTCATGGTTTACTTTTGTGTCTCTAAAGCTATGAAATTGCATGATAAATCACAATGGTCCATGCTCAATCCAAGTTACATCTCCCCTTGTTAAACAAAGCGGAAAGTAGGATGTTGCATGCTGGTTTCTGGATCAAATTTCTACTTCAAAAGAGTTTAGAGTAGCCGCGGTACTTCAACATGACTCAACTTTTGTTTTCTCTCTCCCTGTTATTCCAGATTATTTCTTTGTGGAATCCAAGATTATCTCTAGCATGTGACATTTTAAGAAACTGCTATGAAGCCTTTGCCTTGTATTCTTTTGGCAGATACCTGATTGCTGCTCTTGGTAAGTTACTGGCACCAACCTCAACGTCTTGAGAATATGGCAGTGGATGTTTTAGCATCAGGCATATCTAGTCTTCTTCTCATCTAAACTTGGCTATTTTAGAAATGCAGGAAGTAAAGTAAAATAGAAGTTACATATGTTATATCTGCAACTGAAAGCTGTTCATGAAGGATGTAGTCTTAGGGAACTGGAATAAAAAAGAGAAAAGGGTTTCGGAAACACTTCAGCTCCCCAAGATTTGATGTTATACTCACTTCTTTGAATTCCTGTTTTAGAGAAGACCGCATATCATGATGCTAAATGTCATAACTGAAAATATTTCGCTTAACTCTATTCTTCAAATGCAATGTGCTAGGTGGTGAAGGAAAGGTTGTGGAATTACTTGAAGATGAATATGCAGAGCACCTTGGTAAATCCTTGTTAGATGGCCTAGATGAGAATCATGACATGGATGATAGATCATTTTGCAACTTCTTTTGGCATCCAGGCAAGCTAGGAAAAGATCTTCTCACAATAGAAAAATTTGGTCTTGTTCAATATGTAAGTCGCTGAAGTTTTCCTTAATATTTCAGTTCCAAAACGACTCTAATATCACTAAGATATAGTGCAGATGATCCTGAAGACTGTTTGTGCATTGTTAGCATTTATATTAGAACAGTTTGGTGTTTATGGTGATGGGGAATTCAAGTGGTACTACGGGTGAGTATTCTCTACCAAGATGGAATTCAATATCTGATTTATCATGGTCTCTGACATCATAAACTGATATATCTCGCATGTTTTGTCCATTTTTTTTTCTCTATTAATTGTGTGCACTGGTTAATACTAGGCAAAGTCATCTTCAATTTTTTTCAATAATAATGGTTTTCCACATTTTGCAGGTATCCATACATAGCAGTAGTAATGAACTTCAGCCAGATGTGGGCATTATACTGCCTTGTTCAGTTCTATAATGTTACTCANTGACTACCCCACATAAGGTCCAAAGATCCCTTTATTAATAATTATTTATCAAATAAAAAATAATTTATTTATTTATTTAATGTATAATAATTACATAACAAATTTACTAAACACCCTCGTAAAAGGAGTAGTAAAAATTTATGTGTAATACCCTCGTAAAAGTAAGAAGAGATTTAATTATAATTCTACAAAGGTATGTTCAAATCATTTTAGTATATAGTATAATCATAGCATATCATCACATAAATAACATATTAAATTTTTAACTAAATTAAATGTATATAAAAGAAAACATTTTAATTAGTAATCCACATATCAATTAAATTCAAAATTATTCTATCAAACACAAACATAAATAACCATATAAACCATCACATACAAATCTATACATAAAGAGATATTCACCAAAGAATATCTACATATATGTCTTCCAATACTCATATAAAACATAATTACTAAAATAAAAAAAAAACTTGATTATAAAATTAATTATAAATTAAATAAATTTCATTTATTAATTTTTATATTTTGTTAGGATTTATCGTGAATTGAGTTTAAAAAATAATTTAGAATTATGTATTAGAATGTAAAAGTAAAATGTACAATAACAACAATAACGTATAACAATGCGTAGAAAAAAAAAAGAATTTTCTTAATGAATGAATATAAAATAAATAACGTGTCCGTCGTTAAAATTATTGATTTGACTTAGAATGAGAAGAAAACAAATTAAACTTGTATAGTACAAAAATGTAAGGATTCTGTTCATGGCGAGGATTTCAGAACGAAACGTACACGCGTCCTTTTGGGAAGCGACATAGCAAAACGTGTCAATCTTTGCGCACACGTGTAAAGATCGGTAGTTATATATGCATATTGTGTTGTTCATCTCACTTGCAACATTTTCTAAACATGTTGGTTACTCTTTCGTTCCCTTCTTAATGTGGTAAGTGGTTTTCTGACCATGTTGTCTTATCACCTTAACTGAAGTCCATTTGTGACAGAACATGAATTTCAGATTGTTTATTTATATTAGAACAGTGTATAAATGTAAAATTTTCCTTCGTACAATGTTATCTCTGCAACTATATGCTAGAAGTTTAATGCAGGCAGGTGTGTCTCCTTAGCAGAATGGAATTGTTAATGAGATTGAAGTGGCATTTTCTTAATTCTAATAAGCACGAACCTATGAATGGTTGTTATTGAGACCTTGAACCTTACATTAATGGAAGTTGCATGTTGCATGCTTTGGTGTGATTGAAGTGTAAAAGTTCTCAAGTGTTTAGAGAGAAAGATGCATGAGGAATGGCACCAAATCATTTCTCAAACTTTGAAGGAACATACAAAAATCTTCGCTCACCTGCTGCCATAATTGCTGGTTGTTCTGTGCTTGGAGCTCTAGTGCTGTCTTTCCTTCTCATTCTGCAACATCTTCAATCATACAACAACCCTGCAGTGAGTTCATTTTCTCGTGCCCATTTAATCAATCAAGTTCTTATTTATTCTTTCTTCGCCTCTACTGTGCCATGAGGTGTGGATGAGTTCTGTGGTGTTTGCTCGTTGAAATTTTATTCAATGAAATTTGTCTTTCAAAAAAATAAAAAATGCAGTGCCTTCAGATATCACTTCTGCTTGTGTAAGAAGAAAAAAAAGGACAAAATAACATGTCATACGTTTCCACATATTGAAGTTGCAACCTTTTTAGCTTGAATCAAATGTTTAGAGGTTAGGAACAACTTTGACTAACCCGAAAACTGGTTTACATTCAGGAGCAGAAGTGGATTGTTGGTGTTATTTCAATGGTCCCTATCTATGCTACTGAGTCTGTAAGGTTCTATTACTCTCTGAAATACATTCCTATTTCTTTTTGGCTTGGTTGGGTTAGTCATTTGAAGGAACAACTACATCTAGTCTTGAATCGTATTAAGGTTGTATCGGTATTCAAGCAATTGGTAATATAGACTGATAAGCTGGTAGAAGTGGATTTTAATCAATCTCAGTGGCGTTATGGGATCCATGTAGCTTATCTCAGATGGCCAACTGATATGACTGTAGAAGGAAAAAGAGGAATAAGGGAAGTATAGGAAATGGTGTAATAAGGATGGGAGATTGAAGGAGTGAGGCTATTATGACACAGAGAATGGAAGGGTTCCTTCAGTGATTACATTCCTTTCTTTCATTTCTCTTTTTAATCAGATTGTCTGATCTATTATGATGAATACAATTCCTATATTCTTCTGGAACTATAAACTTTTTTTCACCTCAAAAAGGACGGGGTAAAGTTTAGGAAATCACTAACAATGCAAGCTTTCATGGTTTACTTTTGTGTCTCTAAAGCTATGAAATTGCATGATAAATCACAATGGTCCATGCTCAATCCAAGTTACATCTCCCCTTGTTAAACAAAGCGGAAAGTAGGATGTTGCATGCTGGTTTCTGGATCAAATTTCTAATTCAAAAGAGTTTAGAGTAGCCGCGGTACTTCAACATGACTCAACTTTTGTTTTCTCTCTCCCTGTTATTCCAGATTATTTCTTTGTGGAATCCAAGATTATCTCTAGCATGTGACATTTTAAGAAACTGCTATGAAGCCTTTGCCTTGTATTCTTTTGGCAGATACCTGATTGCAGCTCTTGGTAAGTTACTGGCACAAACCTCAACGTCTTGAGAATATGGCAGTGGATGTTTTAGCATCAGGCATATCTAGTCTTCTTCTCATCTAAACTTGGCTATTTTAGAAATGCAGGAAGTAAAGTAAAATAGAAGTTACATATGTTATATCTGCAACTGAAAGCTGTTCATGAAGGATGTAGTCTTAGGGAACTGGAATAAAAAAGAGAAAAGGGTTTCGGAAACACTTCAGCTCCCCAAGATTTGATGTTATACTCACTTCTTTGAATTCCTGTTTTAGAGAAGACCGCATATCATGATGCTAAATGTCATAACTGAAAATATTTCGCTTAACTCTATTCTTCAAATGCAATGTGCTAGGTGGTGAAGGAAAGGTTGTGGAATTACTTGAAGATGAATATGCAGAGCACCTTGGTAAATCCTTGTTAGATGGCCTAGATGAGAATCATGACATGGATGATAGATCATTTTGCAACTTCTTTTGGCATCCAGGCAAGCTAGGAAAAGATCTTCTCACAATAGAAAAATTTGGTCTTGTTCAATATGTAAGTCGCTGAAGTTTTCCTTAATATTTCAGTTCCAAAACGACTCTAATATCACTAAGATATAGTGCAGATGATCCTGAAGACTGTTTGTGCATTGTTAGCATTTATATTAGAACAGTTTGGTGTTTATGGTGATGGGGAATTCAAGTGGTACTACGGGTGAGTATTCTCTACCAAGATGGAATTCAATATCTGATTTATCATGGTCTCTGACATCATAAACTGATATATCTCGCATGTTTTGTCCATTTTTTTTTCTCTATTAATTGTGTGCACTGGTTAATACTAGGCAAAGTCATCTTCAATTTTTTTCAATAATAATGGTTTTCCACATTTTGCAGGTATCCATACATAGCAGTAGTAATGAACTTCAGCCAGATGTGGGCATTATACTGCCTTGTTCAGTTCTATAATGTTACTCATGAGAGACTTCAACCAATACAGCCACTTGCAAAGTTCATCAGCTTCAAGGCTATTGTGTTTGCTACTTGGTGGCAAGGTGTAGGTATTGCGGTACTGTGTACATTTGAGGTGCTACCCAATGAGGGAAAATTCCAAACTGGTTTACAAGATTTCTTAATTTGCGTAGAGATAATTAATTCCTCTGTATCTCTTTAGTCTTGTGGTATTTCTCATAACCACCATCAAGATATAAAATAAACATTTTTTAAGAAGCTAGGTTAGACAGATATTTTTGTTTTATTAGCAGAAGGGATAGTGATCCATTTTGTCATCCTATTTGAACTTTGCAAGGTTTATCTTCATCTTCTGCTAGCAACCCTTGGGAAATGGGTCAAGAAACAATAAAAAATATAGGTTGATTCTTTTCAATATAATTATTTTTGGGTAGATGAGCGAATCACACTATTTTTGTTGAGAAAGATCAATTTTTAGTCTCAAAATTTAGGTGCTAATTGTGTACATATCATCATTATGTGCTTCACTGTTTCTAAACAAAAGGCTTTTTGATAGATGATCTTATTTTCTCCTACCTGGAGGCAAATGAATTGAAAGAATTTTATATGCATAGACTTCACTTGGGCGTCTAAGAAATGCTGGTAGAACACTCTTCACACAGCTTTAATGCATTCTCTACGATGAAGCATTCACGAGGAGCCCACTGAACGATATGAGTTCTCTGTTCAATGAATCTCATTTACTAGTGAGCCCTCCTTTTTTCTGGATGTAATAGGTCAACAAATAATGATAATTTCAGAGGCCTCGAAACACAAAGTTATTGTTCCTTGCATGTCAAGGTTTTAAGCCTACGTACACAGAAGTGATAATTGGGTTTCTGAATTCTGAAAACCACCATAGCCAAAATTCTATTATTTTTTAGAAATTAATCCTAAATGAAGACAGTAAAAATGATTTTCAATTCCCTTACATCCCAAACTACTTTCATGTACATGGTAATGCAGATGGCCGTTGCAGCTGTTGCTCATGTGTTTGTATTTTCTGCAAAACCATATCAATTTCTTCCTTCTGCTGCATATGGAAAAGTCAGAAAAGAAACAAAGGAGGCAGCCCTGGAGATAGATGAGGAGAACAGGCAGAAAGCTGCTTTGCTAAAAGAGACATCGACTCGAGTTGGGTCTCCAAGAACAAGTGTGACGGAGAGCGTCCAGGATATTGTTGTTGAAGGTGGTCAGAGAGTAAGTTCATTGCATAAGAATCACATAATCTGCCTTAATTATCACTGTTAACCCATCTTATCTATCCATCAGGTTGTCGAGGATGTTGTACTGGCAATAAATCAAGCAATAGGGCCTGTGGAAAAGGGAGTGACGAGAATTCAGCAAACCTTCCATCACAGAACGGTGGTTTCATCAAATGAGGATGAGGAAAAAGAATCAGATATACAAGTAGAGAGAGATGTCACAGAATCTTAGAGGTAAAGGTAAAAAAATTGCAACTACGAAAATTATTAGGATGGAAAACAGACTACACAATACATGGGCAGTTCCTGCCTGCTTTACGTGTTAATGTGTATATACCTTGATGCAACTTTAGAAGACAGCTTACTAGTGCTAGCTAGGAGTTGCTAGAATAGACAGTATAACCATCACTTCTCTGGTACTTAGCCAGAGGATAAAATTACAATAGATTTCTGTTGTTTATTTTAAAAAGTAAAAATCCTTTGAGATATGTGTCTAATAAGCTAAAAGGGAGTAAAGCTGTATTTGACAAAACTCTTTTCTTTTTTAACAGTATAAGCATTGAAAATTGACTTTCTATAGCAAATTAAACATGCCGGACAAGATACCCTTGGAAAATTTAAATTACCCAATGTTGGCAAGAAAAATGAACTATAAAACGAAACCGATGACATAAGCATATACATTCCCAAAGCAACAACCCCAATAAACAGTAATTTCTATGTAGTGTATAGCAACCATACAACATATTTTGAGGTTTCAGCTTTCATTTCCAGAACAGCATATATCTGCACAACAGTCAAGGCAGCTGAGGCATCCCAAACCAACGCAGAGTTGAGTAATTGCATTTGCGCATTGGGTGTTTATCCGGGTACACGCATGAATGCAGGACATGCAACAGCAGGAATTGCAGAAGGAGCTACAACAATTCGTGGCCCGCTTAACAAAGATTTCAGCCGCATCAGGCCCTTTTGGTTCATGACGTCCCGGCTGAATGTTTTCAGCAGTTGCAGCCAAGTTGCCAAATCCTATACCTAAGTGAGGGAGCAAAAACATTCGGTTCCCTTGTTCTTTTGCACCAGTCTTCTTATGATGGCTCTTTTTTGACACCTTTTTGCCATAATTTAGAAGAACGGTCAGAAAGGGAAGTAATATTTTATTTATTGAAAAAGAAAAACTAACAACGACTATATAAAATTGAAATATAAGAGTTCTATTAAAACAGGAAAACCAACAGACAAAACTCTAGTTTTCTATAACATGTTACCATAAATCTAATACAAAAAGGAATATATTTGAAAGTGTGAAATGACAAAAAATTTGTTTACATAAGATTATATCCATTTTATTAGGAAAAAGAACCTCAACTTTTGATACATACTTCTTTCTTTCTATCTGATTCCTTGACATTCTTTCGAAGATCATTCTCAAGATTTGCCATAAGCGTGTACTCCGATATAAAGCCCGTTTGTAAGCTTAGTTTTGCAACCTGGCAATTTAAATGAGGTAGCTCAAGAAAAAAAAAATTAGAGAAAAATAAAATGGCCGAATATCAAATTGAAGAACCGTTACAGCCTAGATGAAATTTTAACCCAAGCACGTGAATACGTGGAGTGATAGAACAGAAACTAATAACAAACCCGCTGTTCTAATTTTTCATCGTTTGAGAGCCAAGCTTGAGCAGTAAGATACTCTATTTGGTCCCTTGCACAAATCTGTTAAAGAAAAAGCAGTGCAGGAGAATAATAATTAACAGAAAAGGAAATGAAATGAAATAACAAACTTGTGCATCTTTATTACAAGGAAGGTAAACTACAATATGCACGAGTATAGATGAAGCAAACCACTATTTTTTGTATATGCACACATTAGAAGGATAAAGAAAGCCATGGTTCTTTATGTACCCCCAGAAAATCATAAGGATGGAATGTAAAAAAAAGAGGAATTAGGACTAAATGTGACTGGTATACCACTCTATGCTTCATGAAATGACGGATCCTTCAAAGTTCAAAGAGGATGACAGAGTACCAAATAGATTTCTAGCACCCATAAACAAATTTGAGCATCCTCTCCAGAAATTTTAGATATAGTTTAAGGAAAAAGATAGACAAATAAACTTGAATTGCGAATAAGCAAGGTAGTGCGAAGTGCATTACCCTTTGTACAGGTATCTCCTTAGCCTCTTCAATCTTCATATCTATTACAAAATTACTGAAATCAGCCAAGACCCCTTTAATTTCAAGATCTTTGGGAAAACTGCCATTGTATCTTCCAGAAAAAATCAATGGACCATCTGAGGAAAGATCTGGAATATGGAAGGGGAACACCTATGACAAGATATATTGCAAATAATGCTATTAGAGTGAACCACAAGTTCAGGGGAAATTAGATAAAAGAATGAAACTTATAATAACATATGCTACAGAAAAGTAATATGAATCCCATCATGGCATCATTTTAGTCTTAAATCGCTAATATTTTTCTAAAGAAGATATAAACGGGAAAAAAGAAACATAAAGATAAATAAGTATCCCCCAAAGGCATGAGGGAACTGCAGAATTCAGTAGGAAGAGCATAGAAACTAAAAAAGAAGCCACTGGGATTTTTTTGCAAGCAGGACCTCTCCTAACTCAAATTACTCCATCAAAAACAGTGGAGACTAGGAAACTGATTCCCAGTTTAGAAAATCAATACCGAGAGAAATAAGAATGGGTCAACGCCAAAGGAATCACGTGGACCAGACCCTGTTAGTTAAAGGCAAGTTTTGTCAGTAAAGCCATTAGAGTTAGTTAATTAGTTAGCCTGATATATATAGTGGTGGCAGAGAATGTAATGGAGTATAAAAGTTGGTCCAGTTAGTTTAGGGTGGGAGAGTCTAGGCTCTTGAAATACTGGGGAAGCCTCCTTTGTATCTTCTTAACTCTAGGCATCCATTGATCCAGAGTTAGATATTACTCAATAAACTTCTAAGTATCATTTTCTTTGATCACCCTGATTGTAATCCAGTTCTATCAGACAAATATCAATATTTTGAGCTGGGTTAAGGTAGAAAAACTAAAGCAAATGTATAAAAGTCAAGGACGGAAATTAGTGAGAAGAAAAAAAAAAGCAAACATGCTGACACATTTATTTCCCTTTATCTAACCAGGTGTCAATAAGATGTTTACCTCAACATCATTCAGACCATTGAATATGTCTGCTGTGATATTTGCAAGAACAATAGATGAAGCTTTGTGGAAGAATTGCAGCATTTGAGACTCGATCAAATCTGCAATAAATTCAAATAGGTCATAACTTAAATTGTTGAACACCCGAATATTTTTTATAAGGTTGAACACTCGATCAAATCAGAAATTTTACTCTACTTCTGTTTTTAATGTTTATGCACCCCTTGCAATTAAACAAGAGAAAGAGGACCTTTCTATAAACAATTGTGAAACCAGTGTCCAAAACCATTATAGGACCACTTGTTTGAATGTTTAAGGCTAGTCAACACAATCAGGTAATCCAACTATAATACATAAAGTTACAACCTACCTTAGATAATATAATTGTTTGTCAGGTATGTGTTCATTGACATGGTTTGAAGATCAAAATGTCTCTAAAATCCAAAATTGCCACTAAGCTCACAATAACAAGAAACAACAACGATGACATTTACTTTTTAAAGTTAAAAGTTTAGAACTTGCCTGCATCCAATGCTGCAAGATGTTGGCCCCGACTTATCGTAGCAAGCATCCGCAAGAAATAATTATTGCAGAATGGACCTGGGATTGAATGTGATTCTAGTAACATTAGAAAGTAAACTCAAAAGATTTCACAATACAAAAAAAAAATACTAGAATCGATGAATTTTAATTGGGTAAGAACGTAACAATGAATCCAGACTCCAAATACTGGAAAGAAGAAATCATACCTATGCCAAAAGTATAAATTCGTGGGGTCATTGACTCTCCATTGGTCACATGATTCTTTATCACATCACAAATTTGTCTCTCATCTTCAACAGTTCCATCTGTAACTAGGAAAATAATTGGAACTGAACTTTGAGCATCAGATAGCATCTCTATTGCCTGAAAGAAAAGACAAAGTAAAAATATACAAATATACAATGCAACGCTACCCAATGACAGTGAACAGAAAGAACTGTGGTGACCATTAACAATCACAAAAGCTAATTTGAGGGTCACAAAGACAGTAAAACTATTTGCATCAAGTTGAGCACATATTGATTCATTCATTTGTTCAGTAGACAGTACATTGCACTTTAATTCAGAAGTTTTCTTGTTAAACAATGAATGATCATAACCAAAACATGACAAACTAACTAGAGTGTTGATACACGGAAGAAACTCAAACAGTATAAAATACAGAGAAAACACCTAATCACGTGACTTTTAATATTATTTTATTTTTTAATATTGAAAAAAAAAATCAGCAAAGAAAAATATTTCTTAAAGGATGTTGGATGAATGTTCATGTGTGTTTATGTATATAATTAACAACAAATATGTCAAATAGAAACATAAAATTCACAGTCCACCCCTCCTCCCCCCGGAAAAAAGAAAATTTGTATGAATATTTAAGTTACCGTGTTTAAAGGATGCAAAATATTCGTATCACCCCCTGCAACAAAGTTTATGTTAATCCACTCTATGGCCCTTTCAACAGCATCCTTTGAAGCTAATTCCATTGATTTTGAAAATTGGTATATATCTCCATTAAATGCTATAATACTAAATGAATCGTCAGGATCGAGCTTAGAGAGAGCAACCGATAGTGCATTTTTCGTTTCATCAATTAGCTTTCCGCGCATGCTTCCACTGACGTCAATTAAAAATACGATGTCCTTTCTGAATATCTAGACATTGAGCAGGACCAGCAATGTAAACAAAATGACAATCAGAAAACTATATGTAAAATGCACACCTACAAAGTTTATAGATACTCTACAAACCTTCTTACTCTGAAGATTTCCTGGATGAAGGTACATGCAGAACATATCTCTTTGATCAAAATCATCCACAGGTGCAGATTCCAAGAGAACCCCACCACTTATATGACTTGAAGAATCCTGAATTTATACAACATGCCAAAGTGCAGCTTTCAACAGCTGAAGCTACAAATAAAAATGACAACAAAAGTGGCATTGAGTCTTACAGGCACCACATATGAAAAGCTAAAATCAGTTTTTGACCACGAGAGAACATCTGCCTCATACAAGAAACCCGTACTCCCAGCATTGTTCCTCACTGTCTGTAAAGTCAGGGAATACAACCACATCACATGGCTAATTGGTTCTACATAAAATACGAACTATAATACCACCAATAATTGAACCAAATATGAACCTTCATGGGATGACTCGCTTTATGGTACAGAAGCTCACTTCCAGCTATACCATTCACAGTTATTTCTATCTTCTCTTTTTTTGACATTTTCCCAACAGGGTTGACAAAATCAGGAAAGGTAAACGGCACATTCAAGAA